CCACGTTTGTTGTCATCGATCTTTCCTCATTCCCTCCCAACAAGTTAGCATTGTACTTTTCTCCAGTTATCTACTATTTGGATCCATATGGTTATTGTATGGTGGCACAGTGGTTAAATGCCAGTACTGCGGCTATTCACAGCCACAAGGTTGTGAGTTTGATCCCAGGCAGGGCTCCAGGGTCAACTCAGCCTTGCACCTTTCCATAGGTTGCTAAAATGAGTACGCAGCTTGTTGGGGCAATTGGCTTACGCATTGTAAACTGCTTAGGGAGTGCTTAAGTGCACTGATAAGCGGTATAGAAATGTACTTGCTATTGCTATTGCTATTGCTATGCTGCAAAGTTTCCTGAAAACAGGAGCTTCATTCATCTCTTCTCCTACTCCCTACCCTGTGCTTGAAATCTGGAAGAACCAAGACTGGTTTTTAATATAATTAGCCTTCCCTTCTTTGGAAAAAAAGAGAGGTGAGAGGAGAAAGAGTTAATATCTGGCATGGGTAGCGAGGGGAGATGCCACCTGTACCACAGCCCAATTCGAAAAATGCAAACCACCAAGAAAGCTGCCAAAAATATGCACAATGCATTTTCATTCTTTCAACTTAGCATACAAACCTGTATCTTAACTAACATTAGGAAGAACTGCTTGAAGGTAAGAGGTGTTCAGTGGAATGGACTGCCTCAGTGCTTGGTGGATTCTCCCTCATGGGAGGTTTTTAAATAGGAGTTGGATGACTATCTCTTAGGAGTGCTTTAGCTGTGTACTTCTGCATGGCAAAGGATTGGATTAGATGGCCCTTCCTATGAGTCTATGATCTCATCAACACCATCGTACAGTGGACTTGTCTTCTTCAGAGGTCTTTAAACACAGTTTGGGTGGCATCTTTCAGGAGTACTTCAGTTGTGTATTCCTGGCAGATGGTTGAACTAAGTAGCCTTTGCAGTCCCTTCCAACTCTATAATTCTGTGACCTAGTCACCAGGAGACAACATTGATCCTACACCTTAGACAGATATCCTCAAAGACACAGAATCTGTTTGTCCAGAGTATCCAAGATTTCTCCATCAATTCAGCTCATCGTACTGAAGTAGCTCCAATTTTCTGATGATATAAATGACTGTCCGTTGATCCTTCGCTGTTTCAGCAGCGATAACCAGCTTTTGAACTGCAATAAATGAGGCCAATCAACATTACTTTTGTCTCATTACTTCAAGAGCTTAAACATAAATTTCCTCTTATCCCTTTCCCCCTTTGGTCTGGAATTAGCCATAGCACTTGCTTATGTGCTATTATACCCAGATCTCCTCAACTAGAGATCAAACTGATCTCTGCTGGGTTCAGAAAATTGATTGGCAAACAGGTTTTGCTTGCTTTGGTTTAGGAAAATTTGGTGCTCTTGTCCAGCTTTTCCAGCCTTTTTAAAAAATACTCTAGGGTTACGTATTAAGCCGAATTAACCTCAGCAAAATGTAGGAGAGAATGAAGTCATAATGTCTATATTAAGCCAGTGATATCTTCCTCTTATATCTGCAGATTTTATTACCTGGGTAACAAAAACAGGAGAGGCAGGATTCCACAGATTATTGTAGCTATTGTAGGGCCTTGTCGGATCTATAAGGTTGGCCACCAGAATGGAAATCTTAAGATGGAGGCTGGTAAAATAAAAAATCATCCCTGGATATATTTTGGAAGACAGTTTCAAGTAGTCTTCAGAGGTTGTCTTGGGCAAAAGGTTTCAAGTGGCTTTTCTTTGCTTGCACAAGGCTTACCTGACCAGGTTGTTCCATCTCATCTGTTCCTACTGTTAGTTTTGAAGAAAACATTTGCTGAAACACATTAAACTACTTTTCTTTTCTTTTCTTTTCTTTTCTTTTCTTTTCTTTTCTTTTCTTTTCTTTTCTTTTCTTTTCTCTTACCTTCCTTCCTGTCAGTATAGGAACGCTCCCTGTTCTTTCCATGTTATTTCTACCCATGGCAAGAAATTTCTGTTGATGAGGTAATGCCCAGGAACACATCAAGTCCATTAAGTGAGGTATACCTCTAGAGCAGTGGTTCCCAAACTTTGGTCCTCCAGATGTTTTGGACTTCAACTCCCAGAATTCTTGACTCTTGGCCAAGTGCAATGGGGCTTCTGGGAGCTGAAGTCCAAAACACCTGGAGGACCAAAGTTTGGGAATCATTGTTCTAGAGCTTCCACCATCACTACCTAACTCTACACAAACCAATGTCTTGTAGGAAATTAAATATCTGAGGCTCCATAGTTGAGTTAGTGAAACTCTCAGCAGCCCGTGTGCATAGGCATGCAGAGCCTATAGTGATGCATTCAGGGAGCTGTAGTCGAACAGTTTCTGTAGAATCGCATGATGCACATTCCTAGTTTTTATGAGAGGAAAATGGGAGCAGGAGAGATAAACTAGGACATTTTAAAAGCAGCTGAAAAAGTGGAATGACTAAAGATTAAATAGGACTGTCCCTGCCAAAATGGGGCTGCTGGAAAAGATGGAAGATATGCAAAAAATTAAACCCAGAATGTGTACGCCAGTCTCAACTTTGTTTAATATTTTAAGATATATTTTGAAGCCCCAATAATGAGAGATCATGGCAAAACACATCTCCATACCCACAAGTTTTGCATTTCTATGGCCATTCTCACACACAATCTGTTTATATACCTCTGTCCCTGGACCACTTCTTGCATCTGAGGAAGTAGATTCAGAAAGTAGATTACTGAGGAAGTAGGAAGTCTACAAATGATCATGCTACCAGCTTCTTTTATTCAGTTAGGCTGAAAGGTGCTACAAGAGCTCTTTGCACATGAATTCTCCCATATGTTTTGAGATGCTCTACAGAGGGCCTTCTCTCTCCACCACCATCATCTGGTGGGAAAACAGGAGAGGGCCTTCTCGGTGGCTGTTCCCAGGATCTAGAACCTATTCTGAGATAGATTAGTCTGGCATGTTCCCTGCAATCTTTCCATAGATGGGTTAAGACTTTTATTTTTATTTCATGCTCAAAGGGACCGCGCTTTGCAGAAATCCTCCGTACTATCTGTCTGTGTTTTTTGTTTATTTGCCATTTTTTAATTTTTAAACATTTTTTCAAATTTTAAGCCAAGAAAAGAAGAGCAAGAGCCCAGTTACAAAGTCAGAAAGGAAATTATCACATTAGGATAATAATAATAATAATAATAATAATAATAATAATAATAATAATAATAATAATGATAATAATAATAAATATTTTTACCCCGCCCCTCTGAGCGCAATCGAGGCGGCTAAGAAAAGTTAAAATTACAAATTATACAATACATCCCAATGCCCTCCCCCCCTTAAAACAGTATTAAATCAGACATAGGATTAAAACATATTACCTGAGCCACCTTAAAATTAGAAGTGGGCAGTATCCTGATATTATCAGATGCATCTAGCCACTGAAATCGCCACCTGGATACAGCCCGGCTCCATCACTGCTTGAAGGGTCGCTCCTTGTGCCTCTTTTTGAAGCTGGGAATTTTTGGGCTTGAAAAAATAGCAGCTGGAGCGCCCCTCTAAGCGGCGATTTCGGTGGCTAAATGCATGTGATAATATCAGGATACTGCCCGCTTCTAATTTTAAGCCGGCTTAGGTAAGACTCTTTATATCCTAATGCAATAATCTTCAAAGTTAAGAGAGCTAAAAGAAAGAGGTACTACAGTAATCAAAGCGATACATGGAACATCTTGTTGTTTTTTTCCCCCCATTTTGTTACTCATTGCTACTGTTTGTGCTCTTGGACTCTATTCATTCCTTTTGTTTTGTTCAAGTCCTTGGTTAAAATTTTGAAGTCTTAAGATAAACTGGCTGAACGTACCAACTTAAGGAAAAGTTCAAATATCTGGCAAAAAGGTTAACTCCCAAGTGGTAGAAGACAAAACAATCCTTCTATTGGCTAGGATTTTGATGTTGGTTATGGATAATTATATTTTTAACTTTTCAATTTGTTTTCTAGGTATGTCTCTTTTAACTGTTGTCAGCTGCCTTGAGAAAACTGGGAAATAGACAGGATATAAATGATGATGATGATGATGATGATGATGTGTCAGTGAGAGACAATGAGCGAATCAAACCAAGGATGCTTGGAAGGACAAGGAAAACAACATTATGCGACCTAACTTTTTACCAGATTCATTTAAAATAAACTGGATTATCACATATTGTAATGAAATGGCACCCAGGTTATTCAGGCCCATCTCTCATCTCAGTTGTCTACAAGGGTCACTGAATACTGTGGAGGGGAATCTTTATTTTTGGGAGGAAAGAAATATGATTTGGGTGACTCTGCGACATAATTCTCTCTAGAACTGTGAATACTTTTCCATCTGATTCCAACTCCACTGAGCAAATCACCCTGAGGTGAATGTTTGGGTCAAAGTTAAATACAGCTGCTTGGAGAGTTGGTGAGTATAAAAACAGACTAATTTGGAGCATAAGTCATTTTTATGGCCCCAATTTCCTGCATTACATGCAGAAATGGTCCATAAATGGCACAAAAGATTTTAGTAAACTGAACCTTAAAGAAACTTTTTTCCCCTCATGGTTTGGGGCAGGGGATGGGAGAGGATTTGCAAAACTGGGGCTCTCTTTATGAGTGTATAAAAAAGAAAGTCTTGACGTCTCAGTTTTACTAGATCCTTTTCTTCCAAGTTATTTGTGAGCTATTGTATTGCAAATCCCAATCCTAATCATTCTTAGGTATTCTATTGTTAACATCAGGTTTTTATCCACTCCGTTTTCTAAGAATCTGTCAATCATCTGGTGATAATTTGCTACCTTTATTTTTTTTCCTCCCCCATATTTCAAAAAGAGAAAACGTATTGGCTGTTTATCATCATAGTGAACTATTTCTTCATACTTTGTATAAAGTATGGATACTTGGATAGCTGATGAGTGCTTTTCCTTATTTCTCCTTCAGTTAGATTCCTATAATTCCTAGGTCTAATTCATACATTATTTGTTTAGTAATAGACCAGTGTGGTTTAATGGTTAGGGTGTTGGACTAAGACTCTGGAGAGCAGGGTTCAATCCCCCACTTGGCCATGGAAATCCACTGGTGACCTTAGGCAAGTCACATGCTCTCAGCCTCAGGGGAAGGCAACAGCAAACCTTCTCTGATTTTCAACAGCAAATCTTGCCAAGAAAACCCCATGATAGGGTTGCCATAAGTCGGAAATGACTTGAAGGCATACCATAACAACAAATTACACTCATATCCTGCCTTACAGTGTCTCCTCTTCTGACAAGTCGCTTTTTCTGGGACAAAAGTAAAGGGAGGAGGTGAATGACATGATTCCTGAACATGAGTTGAGACATTTCTTACTAGAGAAAACAGACAGAAAAGCAGGCTTCTGTGATTTTTTTTTGCTCAAGTCTGCAATTATATCTGGTTGGTTTTGTATCGTCTTTATATGCTTGATGGTGAATAAAAGCATTATTATAGCCAGATGCTGTTCATCACATGAAATCTGGCAGAAAGAGGGAGAGAGAGAAGGAGGGAGTGAACGCAGCTGAAGCACTGAGGTAGGGATGGTTATCTCTAAGCCAGATGGTTTGTCCCCAGTGTTCCAGATTTATAAATCTCTCATCTATAAATTCCATTGTCACCAAGAACATGGCAAGTTTGCAGTTCTTGCAGACACTTATCTTTTGAGCTGGTATCTGTGAAGATTAAGAAGTATACTTATCATATACTAATCATATGTGTTGTTGTCAGTATACACAAGTTCTTGGATAAGTGAAAAACATTCAAAATTCAATTGTTTTAAAGTAGCTGAAACTCTTTTCTCCCCCCCCCCAAAAAAAGTCCAAGCTGCTTCATTTTTGCATAGTGTTCCTCTTCCCCATCACCCCATCACTTTTATGATCCTATCTCTTTATGGGTATTTTTGTTCCTCTTGGCTGGTGACCATGAAAGTGCTTTAGGAAGCTCAACAATTCACACGTCTCCAGGAGGTTTCTTCTCTTTAAAACTTTTATCTAAGGACAGGACCCTGACAGTATGATAAATGGTTTTTGAGACCTGCTTTCAGAAGAATATTGCCAGTATGGTTAGAACGCTGCCCTGGGACTAGGTTTCCTTCTGTACAAATTCTCATTCTGCCATAACATTGCTTGGCAGGTGTTACCTTGGTCCAGTCATCCTGGGGTGTGTGTGAAAGAGCTAGAACATCACAGAACATCATCCATAGAAAACAGAACATCATCAGTGCAAAATATGACTTAAAAAGTTGCTGGGGGGCAGTTTGGATCATGGCCATCACATAAAGAAGGGGATCTAGCCCATTGCTAGGGTTGTCACGCAACATGATCCCAGATTTCAGGACCAAAACCTGAGGACTAAGGATGTCCACTGGTGAAGTCACAGGAGACATGATCTTCTAATGTTACAAAGGTGATTTTACAATGGGCATCCCCTGGTGATGATATTAAGAATGATCAAGCAGAGCTGATGCTTAATGGATCATTCCATTAAGAACAGGTCATTCAATTAAAGAAAAACCTCTAACACATGAAGAAAATGTATGTATTTAAACAGTTTTCAAGGCAGTTTGCCCTGAGTTTTCTTCCCCAGCCCCGAGGACTGAAGAAGAGATGTCAGGCCCTGAGTCTCAAAGACAGTCCCTGAGATCTGGGAATCCTAAGTGCCATTGCTCTCAAGTGTTGTAAGAGAATCTAAGACCCCTTCAAACCTGATAGGGAGAAGTGGGGATAAATCAGGGCATTGTCTGGAAATGAACAGCTAGATGACATGTAGAACTGGTAGACTGGACAAAATGCATCTATGAACCCTACTTCTTGGAAGAGGAATTGAAGCACCTAGACTGGGCCCTACAGGCAAATGGTTACTCCAGCTCAGACATCAGAAGGGCTGCCAGAATCAGAAAAACCCAGAGGAGTGAAGAAAAGCAATCAACCAAAGGGAAGGTATTTTTACCATATTTCAAAGGAGTCACAGACAGAATTGGGAAAGTAGTGAGGAAACACAACCTCCAAATGGTTTACAAACCAACCAAGAAAATCCAACAAATGCAAAGGACAGGAGAGACCCTCTCACAGCCACGGGAGTTTACCGCATACCATGCAGCTGTGGACAAGTCTACATAGGGA